ATATTTGGGTGGGGGATACAGGGTACAGACACAATTTGTTGTAAGGTGCATGCTGCCAGTGTGGATCTGGCCTCCACATCTTGAGCGGGAGGGGTGACAATCAGCTTTGTATCTCATGAATATGCATAACCAATGGGAAAAAAAGGATTCTGAAGTAGATGAAATTTCCAGTTGCTTCTTTTCAAGCCTAAGATGATATTCTCCCTCCCCTCGCAGGTACCACCTCTGAGGCATAAACACCTCTTGATCATCTGGCCTCCACTCAAGCTGCTCTCAATGTTCTTATTTTTCCAGTCCTGCAACCCCAGCATTTAGCAATATGAAATTCCCTCGGGGAACACTTTCTTAAACTCCAACTTTGCTGAAGTAAGAGCAACATAGCTTAATAAATTGCTACTGCATTTACCAACTTTCTTTTCTCTTGCACAGAAATAGATAAACCTAATCTCTGAGGTTTTCTGTGTACTTTTGGCAATTTAAAAATTATAGTTAAAAGGTGTTTGGGCAAGCACTCCTTTCAAATCCTTCTATTTTACCTCAGAGAAAACCTTCTTTATTCCTCTTTGTAGAAATGTCTTTTTTTAAAAAGCAAGGCATTTGTAGGAGTTAAGAAATGTTAGCTACCAAACTAAAAACTACCCCCCAAAATTAAACACAAATGTCCAAAAAGACCCTACATAAAATTGGCACAGAAAGTTTTTTGTCAACAATGATATTAGAATATTTTAAAGTTTTCAAATAAATTTATCTAATGGACTAAGTAATTAAATATAATCCTGTGCTAATGAAGCAATTAAGGCAAAGTAGTTTTGTTCTTTTTGGAAAATGCTTATGTTATTAGCACCCATGATCTAGATACTCAACAAATCATCAGATCAAAATCACCCACTGACAGGCTAAAATTAAAAGATTGACATTAACAAGTGTTGGTAAGATGTGGATCAACTGGAATGCTCATGTATTATTGGTGAGAGTAGATAATGATACAACTGCTTTGGAAAGCTGTTTGGCAGTTTCTACTAATGCTATATATACACCTACCCTAGGACCTAATAATTTCATATATCCCCAAGAGATTAGTGCATCTGTCCAAAAGGCATGCACAAGAATATTCATAATAGCCATAAACGGAAATGATCCAAATGCCACAATGGATAAATAAATTTATCCGTATTCATACCAAGGAATGCTACACAGTATTAAATAAGTAAAAGATACATATGTAATTAAAAATCAGCTGTTATTACATACAACATGTTGCATGTTCATTCACTATGTCTAGTGAAATAAATCAAACAAATGTATGATTCCAATATATGAAGTTCAAGAATGAACAAAAGTAATCAGATGATGATAGGGGTCAAAATAGTTGTGCATCTCAGAGTGGCTTAAGAGGAGTTGACAGGAAGAGGGCATGAGGGATTCTGAGGTACTAGAATGTTCTATATCTTGATCTGAATGATGGTTCACATGTATGTCTGTGTATGTCTGTGTGTGTATGTGTGTGTACACATCAGATTAATGCAGTTTACTCCATTAAAGTTAGTCCTCAGTAAAAAAGAAAAGTAAACTAACCACGTCAGATTAATGCAGTTTACTCCATTAAAGTTAGTCCTCAGTAAAAAAGAAAAGTAAACTAACCATTAACAATTGAAAGTAAATTCAAGATGAGAAACCTGAAGTTTATAAAAAAAAAAAAGTAATATAACCCATGTAGTACAGATTCTTGTTGAATATGTCTCCTGACTTCTGGTCAAGTGCCCTTCCCATATTACTTGACTCATGAAGGATCACTTAGAAAGGGAGACATTACAAGAGATGTCAATAACAGGTCCANGGAGTTGACAGGAAGAGGGCATGAGGGATTCTGAGGTACTAGAATGTTCTATATCTTGATCTGAATGATGGTTCACATGTATGTCTGTGTATGTCTGTGTGTGTACACGTCAGATTAATGCAGTTTACTCCATTAAAGTTAGTCCTCAGTAAAAAAGAAAAGTAAACTAACCATTAACAATTGAAAGTAAATTCAAGATGAGAAACCTGAAGTTTATAAAAAAAAAAGTAACATAATCCATGTAGTACAGATTCTTGTTGAATATGTCTCCCATCTTCTAGTCAAGTGCCCTTCCCATATTATTTGACTCATGAAGGATCACTTAGAAAGGGAGACATTACAAGAGATGTCAATAACAGGTCCACTGGAAAATAAAAACAAAAAAAGCAATGCTTTAAATCTCAGTATTGGAAAAGATTCCAACTGGCAATTGCTCCTGGTGAAGATTTATGCTCTCATCCCAAAATTAATGAATCTGGAGTGGGATCTAAGGTTGGGGTTTCTGGCCAGAAACTTTGATGATACTTATGTATGTCAAAATTGAGAGTAAAAATATTTATAATAGATGAGATTGGCTCCCTAAAAAGCTTTTTTTCTTCCATTTTCTTTTTTTTCCCATCACCAACATATTTGATTCATTTGTAATTTTTTTTCTATTACCACGAATTGCAATTATTCCCTGTGTCCCCCACCCAACCTTTTCCTGACCTCCCTCCCCTTCCCCACCCCCCACCAACCCTAGGTATATTCTCTCCCTCTGCAAGTCAAACACACCATTATGGTCTTTCTTTTCTTCTTTCTCTCTTAACTACCACATATGAGTGAGGACATGTGGTAATTTCCCTCTGTTCCTGGCTTATTTCACTTAACGTAATTTTTTCTTTTTTTTAATTTAATTTTATTTTGTTAATATACAATGTGGTTGATTATTGTGGCCCATCACCGAAATCTCCCTTCCTCCTCCATATCCCCCCTCCTTCCCAACAACTTCCTATCTGTTCGTTTGTCGTATCAACTTCAAGGAATTAAAATTGTTGTGTCTTCTTCTCCCCCCACCAGTTTATTTGTGTATTTATTTATTTATTTTTAGCTCCCACAAATAAGAGAGAATATGTGATATTTCTCTTTCTCTGCCTGACTCATTTCACTTAATATAATTCTGTCTAGGTCCATCCATGTTGTTGCATTCACTCTAGGTCCATCCATGTTGTTGCAAATGGCAGTATTTCATTCTTTTTTATAGCAGAGTAGTAGATATAATTCTGTCTAGGTCCATTGTGTAGATATACCACAGTTTCGTTATCCACTCATCTGATGATGGACATTTGGGCT